TGGGATCAGTCAGCTTGCACGTCAGCTGACACAGAGAGTCCTGTCCGGCTTTTCCACCCCTTCATCAGCAGCCACTGGTGAGAAGGGAAAGAGGAGAGAGGATTCACTCTGAGCTGACAGGTGTCAGGAGGAGAAGAGAAAGACTGGGGCTTCTCCATCTGACTGCATCCTCCATCATGGCTAAGAGAGGCTCTGGAGTTCAAGGGGAGAGATCCCCTGAGCTGCACCCCTCCTCTGCCTCTTACCACTTCCTCTCTGTGGCACAGGGCACCTGGACAGGACCCGGGGTTGGCATGGGGCCAGGCTTTTGGATGCACTCAAAGAGCACTATCAATGAATCTCACAGTTGTGAGAAGAGTGAGATTCAAGGAGCTTTGAGGCAAAGGAGAATGATTTTGCTCTACCGTATTCCTCCTCATAGGAGGTTCCAGAAGAGTACACCCTTGGAGCAATCCAGGGAGATGTGTTCACTTTTCCTAGTGCTGTATCAAAATGAAATTTTAGAAGTCACGCTGGGATCTGGCGTTGTGACGTAGTGAGCAAAACCGCCACCACTTATAACACCAGTATCCCATATGGCCACCAGTTTGACTCCCCGCTGCTCAAATTCTGATCCAGCTTCCTGCTCATGTACCTGGGAAAGCAGCAGAAGACGGCCCAAGTGCTTGGATCTCTGCTACCCAGGAGGGAGATCTGGATGGAGTTGTAGGTTCCTAGCTTCAGCATAGCACAGACCTGGTCATTGAAGCCATCCAGAGAGAGGACCAGTGGATAGAAGATATCTGTCTCTTCCTCTCTCTGTATGACTCTCCGTAACTTCAAATAAACAAGGGGAAAAGGTCATATTGGAGGGCAGAACAGGTACAAGAAGTTACTCAGAGATCACAACTGCCGGCCCAGCTCCTGAGAGGAGCAGCCTGGGACACAGCAGGAAGCAGGACTCAATTTTTGCATCTGAAAACATAGGCTGAAGACCACCACACCTGGGCACCAGCTGGGAGCTTACTAAAATTCGCTTTTTTTTTTTTAAAGATTTATTTTTATTATTTTTTTTTATTGGAAAGGCGGATATACAGAGAGGAGGAGAGACAGAGAGGAAGATCTTCCATCCAATGATTCACTCCCCAAGTGAGCGCAACGGCCGGTGCTATGCCGATCCGAAGCCAGGAGACTCTTCTGGGTCTCCCACGCGGGTGCAGGGTCCCAAAGCTTTGGGCCATCCTCGACTGCTTTCCCAGGCCACAGGCAGAGGGAGCTGGAAGGGAAGCGGGGCTGCCGGGATAGAACTGGCGCCCATATGGGATCCCGGGCGTGCAAGGCGAGGACCTTAACCACTGCGCCACCGCGCCAGGCCCTAAAATTCACTCTTTTTAAAAAGTATTTATTTACTTAGGTATTTGGAACAATGGAGTTACAAAGAGGAGAGACAGGTATCTTCCATTGCTCCCCACATGGTCCCAAATGCCAGAGCTGGACCATGCTGAAGCCGAGAGCTTTATTAACATCTTCTACATGCGTAACAGGGGCCCAAACCCTTGGGTCATTTTCTGCTGCTTTTCCCTGGGTACATTGGCAGAGGGCTAGATCAGAATTGGAGCAGCCAGGATGCAAACTGGTCAAGGAATTCTGCTGTCACAGAAGTGAGTTTTTACCCATCACACCATAGCACCAGCCCCTAGAATGCAAAAATCTGAAACCTCACTGTAGAGGTCTTGAATAGGGGACTACAGATGAACTAGATCTTCAGGTGAGTTGTATAAGAGACAAAAGGCTAGAGTGATTCATCTGTAGATAATATCCTTAAAAGCAGTATTTGACATTTTTCTCTCTTTTTTTAAAGATTTTTATTTTATTTATTTGAAAGAGTGACAGAGAGAGAGAGAGGGAAAAAGGGATCTTCCATCCGCTATTTCACTGACCAGATGATTAAAGGACTAAGACTGGGCCAGGCAGAAACCAAGGAGCTAGAAGTTTCTTCCAGGTCTCACACATGGGTCGCAGGAACCCAAGCACTTGGCTCATACTCCACTGCTTTCCTAGGCACATTAGCTGGGTCAGAGTCGGAGCAATTAAAACCGACGCTCCGGTATGGGATATTGATCTTGCAGCAAGGGGTTTAACGCCAGCCCCCGTAGGGGATGAAGGAGCCAGTTTGGGGTGTGGGGAGGAGGGCATTTCTCTGTCCTCTGGGAGCAAGTGGAATTGGGAGATTTTCTTTAGGCAAGTCTCAGAAAGAGCAGCCGGTTAGACACAGAACTGTTGCCAAGGCTCAGGCTAGGGTGCGGATACAGTTCCGCTGCAGTGGGAGCCCGGTGAGGCAGAGGCTGGTCCGGAGGTTCCTGACCTTTGCTTGGCTCGAGTTCCTGGCACCATAAGGCCCTTAGATGGTAAGTTCCTGGCAGACCCGACTCCCGGGCAACAGTTTGAGTAATCCTGCGATTACTCAGCTCCCTCTCCCCAGTCTGGGTTCCCACCACCTGCGTCTTCAGGAGTGTGGCTCACAGGGGTAGGTCTCGAAGGTGACTTTCCAGAGGTGTTTTTCAGCAACTCTCACCTCCCCCCAGTCTACTTCCCTTCTCTTCTTTCTCTCTCTTTTACACACACACACACACACACACACACACACACACACACACACACACACTAGTACTTTATCTTTGAGGTCCAAGGTACATGACATTGAAGGAGGTACAGGTGGCAGTGGAAGAAGGGAGGTGGGAGGAGCAGACAAGAGAGATGATGAGGCTGAAGGAGCTGCAGGTCAGGCACAGGACCAGAACACCAGCATGGAATTCTCTGAGTTTCATTGGCTGTCTCCCTCCATCCCTACATCTCTAACTTTCTCCAGCAGAGAGGTCAGGGTTCTGCCTTCATGTCCCCATCTTCCTACATACCTGTGTCTTGGCCTGTGGTTGTAAGGATGGGGAAGGGGATCGCCTAGTGGTTGGGTCCCAAGGCCCCAGCATACTCCAAACATAGGGCACCTGTGATGGGGGTCCTTGGCCAGCTTCACCTCCCAGGGCAGGGTCTCAGTGATATGGTTGTAATGTCCCTGGGGCCATAGCAAGCAGTGGGTCAGGCGTGGGTCAAGGAGATGTGTCTGGGGTCACCTGTGTGGTCAGCGTACACACGCACGCGGATGTGGTTCTTGGAGAAGGGAAGAGGCAGGGAGGCCTGTGGTTGCCTGCTGGCCCGGAGCCTGAGTTCCCACTGTGGCTTGGCCTAATCTCCCTCCCGCTTACTTTTTTGGGTGACCCATGTTGGTTTCCCCCCCCCCCCAACTCTGGTCTGAGAGCCACCAAGGAAAGAGATACCACAGGGCTGGAGGAGGAGGGGGCCAGAGCAAGCTCTTGGGGGGCCCCAGACGGGCACACACTGGGGCTCTCCATTGATGATATTCAGTAATTGCCATTCTGTCCTACCTCCCGCCTGCTTTCAACATTGTCTTCTTACTGGCAAGGGAACTGAGGCCCAGAGAGAGGATCTAAGTGACTAGAAGTGCAAGTGCCCCCACATTTTTTCCATTCCTCTTCCAGGCACTCAATCCCCCCTTATTTGCTCCTCCCCTCTAGGCATACAAAAAAAAAAAAAAGTCTACTGTTAAACTTCCTGGAAAGAATCTGAGACGCTCACTTGTGCTTTGGTCCCGAGGTGACCACAGCTTAGTGTGGGGGAGTCAGACAGGCTGGGGGAAAGGACAGGAAAGCAGCGCCAAGGGAGGAACCTCAGGTGTCCTAGCTCCCTGGGGCCAGCCATACTCTCGCTCCCCACCTCTCAGCAAGCATCGCCCTAGGTGGTCAGAGACAGGCCTAGAGCTGGAAGTAAACTCAATAGGAATATGAGTTTGTCTTCTGGAAGGGCTACCACTTCCTTTGTCCATTGGGTGGGAGATATGGCACAGATGGGAAGGGGCTCTGCGCCACCCAGGTCCCCACGCTCAGAGGGAACCAGCAGGTCAGAGATGGTGCAAGAGAGACTAAAGCACCCTCACCAACAGTAGCCAGAGACCCCAAGTTCTGTGCCTTGCAAGGACCAGGCTGGGAGAAGGTCTCCTGCTTGTTCCTACAGTGAAGAGAGCCAAGAGCAATGACTGGCACTGGGCAGAGAGGAACCTGGGCCAGCAGCAGGCAGCAAGAGGGGAACCAGCACACACACACACACACACACACACACACACACACACACACCCCTTTAAAAGGGCCCACTGACATGTGTATCCCCAAAGCCATGCCCACAGAATAACACAGGGAGAGGTAGGACGTGAGACAACACCCAATCTGGCTGGCTCGTAGGTTGAAGAAGTCAAATGAAAAGGCTTTACTCCAAGCTTGTGTATGTGCCCACACAGTTGACACAGATGCCCTAGTATAACACTGGTACATCTAAGGTCTCCCTGCCTCCACTGGGGGCCGAAAACCCAGAGCCCTTGTGAATCTCCCCCTGAGCTCTCTGGCCTCTACCTTCCCACCTCCCTGCACTCGCAGTCTATGAACTCTGTTCCCCTGGGTCCTGGTCTTTTTCCTTGTCTGGCTGAGAATGGCCAGCATCTCTGCCTGGTTTCTGGCTGCCTCTTGCCTAGAGCACCCCATCTTCCTACTGTGCCCCACATTCTGTCCCAGGGATGGGGGTGGGGTGGGGAGCTGAGCCCCAGTGGGGGAGGGAGACACAAAGGAAGCCCCTTGCGCGGGAAGCAGGTGTCGTGAGGCAATGCAGGCTCCCTAGTCCTGAGACGCGAGGGAGGCAACGGGAGCTTGTCAACTTGAAGGGCAGAGCAGGTGGCCTCTGCAGCTGTCTCCTCCCCTCCATACCCCCTCCACCAGAAAACACAAAGCAGCCTGGGGAGAAGCATTTGGCACTTCACTTCCCCTCCACTTTGCGGGGAGGGAGACAGCAATCAGGGGAAGGGGGGGTACAGGACACCTGTGTCTGCAGCCCAGGTAATGTGATGGTAGAAAGCAGAAATGGCTCTCAGGCTGAGCTACTCCTCCTCTCTCTTCCAGCGCAAATTGAAGTGATCCCCTGCAAAATCTGTGGGGACAAGTCATCTGGGATCCATTACGGGGTTATCACCTGCGAAGGGTGCAAGGTGAGTTGCAGGCATCGCTGTGTGCACGTGTGCGGACATACATGCACACATGACACACAACTCTTTCCTCCCAGAATGAGGTCTTTGCTCTTCTTCCAGAAGATGCCCTCGGAAGCCAGTGGGGAGTTGCCTGGATGGTGACCTCCCTGGAGGGCTTGCGGACAGAAAAGGTCTTTATTTAGGCTGAGGAAGAAGTGGTTGTGGGACAATCTGCAAAGAAATGGAGGGAGGAAATCTCACAAGGCATAGCAAGGCGGGTGCCGAGTGTTGTCATATGTGGAAGTTTCAAAAAGTTGATCTCATAGAAGCGCAGAGCCCAGTAGTGGTCACTAGAGGGTAGGCAGGGTAAGGAGACAGGGCATAGGGGGAGATCAGAGGACCCTGAGATAGGAGGAGTAAGTTCCAGTGTTGCAGCCCCATGGGTGACTGTAGTTGACAAACACTTCCATATTTCGAAAAGGACAAGAGCTAGTGAGTTTAGGAGCTCTAAATATCCAGTGGCAAGTGTTTAAGGAGTTGGACATGGTAGCCACCTTGATTTGATGAAAATTGTATGCAAGCATCAAGGTATCCCACAGTAGGTACAATTCTCAGGTGTCAGTTAAGAGTAAACACAGAAAGAGAAGAGGAAGGCCCTCCGGATGGAGCTTGGACTGGCTGGAGCTGGCAGCCCTGCTATCCACCTGCCTTCCCCAGGGCTTCTTCCGCCGCAGCCAGCAGTGCCACGTGGCCTACGCCTGCACCCGTCAGCAGAACTGCCCCATCGACCGCACGAGCCGCAATCGATGCCAGCACTGCCGCCTACAGAAATGCCTGGCACTGGGCATGTCCCGCGACGGTGAGGCCGAGGGTGCGGCCCCTTTGGGGTTTGGGGTTTCCCTGCCGTCCTCAGAGGGGCAGCCTGACCTGTGTCTCCAGTGGGACTTAACCGGCAGGCACGCCTTCTCTCCATTCCTCCTCCGGCAGCTTGGCCTCCTCCACGTGGGAGATGGGCAGATCGCCTCCCTCCATCTTTCCTCCCCTACCTTCTTCCTTCAGAGATCATTCAGGTCCCTGCTAGTAGGTCCCACTAGAACTAAGTCCCAGACCTCCCCAGCTCTCCTTTCTGGGGCCCACTCCATCGAGTTTCCACAAACATCCCTCCTGCCTCATGCCTCCAGTCCCAGCGCTATCTCCCTTCTTGTCCAGCCTCTACCCCTCACCCCTGCACCACCATTCCCATCCAGGGACACAGGACAGAACCAGAGCCAGCCTAAGCTCAAGTGCAAGGGTGCGTAGGGGCGGGCCTGGCCGGTGTTGAGGCTGCCTGATCCACCCTCCTCTGCACCTCCCCCAACCCTGACCAGCATTCCCCCCACACCACCTCCCTTGCTGCCTCTGCTAAAGGAGTCCAGGGCGGGGCTAGGGGGAGGCACGGCCCGGTGAGGAGCCAGAAGGAGCCTGTCAGCACTTTTCAATGCCCAAAATAACAAAGCGAAAGGAAATACGCAGGGGTGCATGGGGGGCAGGCGGGGCGAGGGGCTGTGCCCCCACACCTGGGAGGGGTGGGGGGATTGGGAGGGGTGGGGAGTGACAAGGCAGGAAAGAGAGAGCAGAAGAGGATGTTCAGAAACAAGCCGCGGAGGCCGGGTTGGGCTGTGGTGAGTATCTAGGTCACCAGGCAGCAGGAGGCCTGACCACAGGGAAACCTGTGTTCTCAGCTCTCCTCTTCCTCCGACCCTCCCAGAAGGCGAGGTGACCCCAATACCGCTTGATGCACCCCCGCCCATCCAGCCATCTCCCGCCCAGCTTCACTCTCCGAGGCCAGAATTCCCAAGTCGGTCGTCTTGCTTGTGTCCTGCCTCTGTTCGCAGCTGGCTTAGAACCCAGAAGGGCTCACTCACTCTGAGAGGCAGAGAGGGCAAGCTGGATAGAGCCCCAGAGGCAGCCAGTGGTCCGAGTAGCAGCAGGAAGTGTGAGTCTGTGTTCTGCAAAATGAGGCTCTTGGGCCTGCTGGAGAAGCCTGGAGTTCAGGGAGCAGCAGGTTAACCCTGTCCCAACCCAAGTGCCCATTGGTCCTGACCCTTACCGTGTCCTCTTGCCTCCTCAACTCACGATCCTTGCATCTTCAGCTGTCAAGTTTGGCCGCATGTCCAAGAAGCAGAGGGACAGCCTGCATGCAGAAGTGCAGAAACAATTGAAACAGCAGCAGCAACAGCAGCAGCAAGAACAAGCAGCCAAGACCCCTCCGGAAGGGGGCCAAGGAGCCGACAGCCTCCCCTACACCTTAGGGCTCCCAGATGAGCAGCTGCCCCTGGGTGCTTCGCCTGACCTGCCTGAGGCTTCTGCCTGCCCCCCAGGTCTCCTGAGGGCCTCTGGCTCCAGGCCCTCATATGCCAATCACCTGGTCAAGTCAGAGCTGGGCGAGGCCTCCTACCACCTTGAATATAGCCCCGAGCGGGGCAAGGATGAGGGCAGAGAGAGCTTCTTTGGCCCAGGCAGCCAGCTGACCCCTGCCAGATGTGGACTGCACTTTGAGCAACCCAGGCATCCTGGGCTTGGGGAACCAGGCCAGGGCTTGGACAACTACAGCAGCCCCACCTTCCGCAGCACCCCAGAGGCAACTTATGCTTCCCTGACGGAGATAGGTGAGCTGCAGGGAGGCAAAGAAGGTGATAAGGAGGAGGGAGGGGTCTTCTGCCAGCAGCCTCTAAGTAGCCCACAGTAGCCCTGAGGGAGGGAGGTACAAGCTCCAGGACAAGGGGCGGAAGGAGGAGGACAAGCCAGGGAGGCCAGGTAGAGAGGTGCCCTTGTGCAGGTGGGGCAGGAGCCGGCTGAGATCAAGCTGTGCCTTTCTCATTCGGCACAGAGCACCTGGTGCAGAATGTCTGCAAGTCCTACCGAGAGACATGCCAGCTGCGGCTGGAGGACCTGCTCCGGCAGCGCTCCAACATCTTCTCCCGGGAGGAGGTGACTGGCTACCAGAGGCAGGTGAGGCCAGGAATGGTTCAGGGGTGGGTCAACACCTCCCAAGTACCAGCAGAGCCCAGAGATGGTTCCAGACTTGGGTGGGGCATCATGGCAAGTGTCTGGTCCACATGTAACATCTTTTTTTTTTTTTTAATATTTATTTTTATTAGAAAGGTAGATTTACAGAGAGAAGGAGAGACTGAAAGATCTTCCATCTGCTGGTTCACTCCCCAAATGGCCACAATGGTCAGGGTGAGCTGATTGGAAGCCAGGAGCTTTTGCCCAGTTTGTACACATGTGCAGCAGTTTCTGGGTCATCCTCTGCTGCTTTCCCAGGCCATGAGCAAGGCACTACATAGGAAGTCAAACAGTGAGGACACAAACCACATTCATATGAGCTGCTGGTACTGCAAGGCAGAGAATTTGCCAATGGAGCCATTGCACCGGCCCTCTGGTCCGTTTCTCAGTGTAGTTGTGTTCCTATCCACATCTTAGCACATGGATGAGAGCTCTCCCTTAGGCCCTGCCTGCTGAAATCACACCCAACCTTCAGCCCAACTCCTCTTCACCCACCCTGCCCCACCCGGTGCAGGGTGGGGGACTTTCGTGCTCTCTTTCCTCCCACTTGCTTCCCTAATAACCACACTAAGAACCCTCATCACCACCCTTTCTCTGCCACATGTTGGATGGAGATCTGCCACAGCCCTTACAACAGGCAACCTGTGAGGGTGGCCCTTATTCCTATTTTAAAATTTTTATTTGAAAGGCAGAATCACAGGGAGTGAAGGAGAGACAGAATATTGCTTCCATTGGCTCACTCCCCAAATAGCTGGAGGCCAAAGCCAGGAGCCAGGAGCTTCTTCTGGGTCTCCCATATGGGTACAGGGGCCCAAGCACTTGTGGTGTCATATGCTACTTTCCCAGGTATATTAACAGAGTGCTGAATCAAAAGTGGGGCAGTTGAAACTCAAACTGGCACCCATCTGGAATGCCAGTGTTGTAGGTGGAAGCTTAGCCTGTTCTGCCACAGAGCCAACCCCCACCTTTATTCCTATTCTTACAGGACTGGGAATTTGAGCTCCCCGGGGTTAAAGGACTTACTCTAGAGTGCAGTGTGGTGGGAGCCAAGGCTGCCATTCAGTTCCAAGGCTTCCGCTGTTGCCTCTATGGGATTCTGCCCTGACTGCTTGCTCTGAAAACCTTCATGTAGCATTCTGCATTTGTTTCTTTATGTGATTACAACCTTGGGTATGTCCTCTTGGGGAGCAGGCAAGGGAGGAGGTGGTTCCTTTCCGCCTTCACCAGATGCAGGTGACTGGAGGGCAAAGCTGTATCTCATACCACGACGGCTCCCTCAGTGTCGGCAGCCGGGGGCACAGGCATGCAACGCAGTGGACTGACAGGAAGTGTGGCCTTGTGCACATCTGTGCTGAGACTAGGCTTTCTCAGATGCCAATGTGGAGACAGTGGCAGTTCATTTGGTGGGGCTGAGGGGAGGGGCACAGAGGGGCTGCGGGGTCCTGACGGAGGGCACAGCAGACTTCCCCTCTCACCCCCTGCAGTCTGTGTGGGAGATGTGGGAACGCTGTGCCCACCACCTCACCGAAGCCATCCAGTATGTGGTGGAGTTCGCCAAGAGGCTCTCAGGCTTTATGGAGCTCTGCCAGAATGACCAGATCGTGCTGCTCAAAGCAGGTGCCCAGGGGCATGTGGGCGGGTGGGCAGGGCACAGAGCGGGGCACAGTGCGCCATGCGCCTAGGAGCCACAGCTTCTGCCTGACGCCACCCTGTGTCTCCTCTCCCGTCTCCCAGGAGCCATGGAAGTGGTGCTGGTCAGGATGTGCCGGGCCTACAACGCCGACAACCACACCGTCTTCTTTGAAGGCAAATACGGAGGCATGGAGCTGTTCCGAGCCTTGGGTGAGGGGCAGGGGGGCAGGGGGGAACGGGAGAGAGGATTCCTAGGTCCACTCCGTGCACAGCCTGGCGGCCAGGATGCCCCGTTCTCGGGGTTCCCCACCCCAGGACGGCCCTGTGCCTGGCTCACTCTTCTCTCTCTGCCCCCTCAGGCTGCAGTGAGCTCATCAGCTCCATCTTCGACTTCTCCCGCTCCCTGAGCGCCTTGCGTTTTTCTGAAGACGAGATTGCCCTCTACACAGCCCTCGTTCTCATCAATGCCAGTGAGTGTTGCAGGGCTTGGGAGAGGGTGTCCAAGCCATCCAAAGGCCCTGCAGAGGGGTTCAGTTTGCAAAACTGCTCGGAAGAGTAGAGTGAGGCCCCCACCCAGTACTGCTGAGAAATCCAGGAAAGGGACCAGGACAATACAAGCAGGGGCATGGAAGCGGGGGGAAATGGGGTTAAGAGGAAGTGAGCTCCTTCTGTGATAGAACTTAACTTGCACCAGGAGTCGCTGGGAACACACATTGTAGTCACCTGGGTCCCACCTCCAAAGTTCTCTGGATGCACTTAAATGTTTATCAACCTTCTCCAGGCCTCCAAAACTGGGAGTTACTTCTCTGTGTAAATTAATTTTTTAAAAATATTTATTTGTTTTTATTACAAAGTCAGATATACAGAGAGGAGGAGAGACAGAGAGGAAGATCTTTCATCTGATGATTCGTTTCCCAAGTGACCGCAACGGCCAGTGTTGTGCCGATCCGGAGCCAGGAACCAGGAACTTCCTCCAGGTCTCCCACACAGGTGCAGGGTCCCAAGGCTTTGGGCTGCCCTTGAATTGCTTTCCCAGGCCACAAGCAGGGAGCTGGATGGGAAGTGGAGCTGCTGGGATTAGAACCGGAGCCCATATGGGATCCCAGTGCTTTCATGGCAAGGACTTTAGCTGCTAGGCCACGTCACCGGGCTGTCTGTGTAAATTAATTTTTTGAAGATTTATTTTTTATTTATTTGAAAGCCATTTTCAGAGAGAGAAGGGGAAACAGATTTTCATCCACTGGTTCACTCCCCAAATGGCCACTACAATCAGGATTGGGCTGATCTGAAGCCAGGAGCTAGAAGCTTCTTCCAGGTTTCCCACGTGGGTGCAGGGTCTCAAGGCTTTGGGCCGGACTCGACTGCTTCTCCAGGCCACAAGCAGGGAGCTGGAAGGAAAGTGGAGCAGCTGGGACTTGAACTGGCATCTCTTGGAATTCTGGTAACGCAGGTGGAGGCTCAGCCCGCGTTGTGTTACAACACAGGCCCCTGAGTGAACTAACTTTGAGGCCTTGGACATCCACTCCTCTGGAAAGGAGGCAATTAGGCTGATTCAGCTGAATGTCAAGTGTTCAGAGAAGCTGGGGCAGGGGATTTTAGGAAACGAACACTGTGAAGACGACTTCTGGGGATTTTAGGGAAGCAGGGCCAAAGGTAGTTTGTGTGTTGAAGTTGGCAGCAGACTGCTGCAGAGGCCCTGCTGCTCCTGGCCAGTCTGGCTTCAGAAAGGCCACCTCCTAACTGGAGCCACTCCAGGGAGAGGTAAAGGGCATTCTCTTCCAGCCCTTGTCAGAATCCTGTTAGCCAGCATTGAAAGCTCTATGAGAAATGTTAACCTATCAGGGAGAAGGTAGCTCAGCGTTCCAAGGTTACCATCTTTATCAGCTCTCCTCCTTTTTCTTTGCAATAAGCCAAATCTAAAGTCTTCATGCTTACCATTATTGACCCACAATACACATGCCCTTACACAGTCTCTCTCTCTCTCTCTCTCACACACACACACACACACACAGCTAGGAAGTCTATGCCACACCAATGCCCAAAGAGATGCACCCTTTAGTTGCAAGTTACCATCCTCCTTCATTTCTGCTCTTACTCTGGTCCCATCCCCTTCTGCAGGCCGGCCAGGTCTCCAAGAGAAAAGGAAAGTGGAACAGCTGCAGAGCAATCTGGAGCTGGCCTTTCACCATCATCTCTGCAGGACTCATCGTCAGGGCATTCTGGCAAAGGTAGGGGCGGGCCCAGTGCCAGAGGTGTGACGTCATGGCTGGGGAGGGCCAGGGGCTGCGGTGTAGGGGAGGGGCCTGCAGAGGGCCACATGATGGCAGGGAGCTTGCAACAGCAGTGGGAACTGAGGACTGCCAGCAGCTGCTTCCATGGGCATGAAGTCGGGAAGTTAGAGAGCCTGAAATTGGAAGGGCTCTCCAGGGAACAATTCAGTTTAATATAGCCGACGCTTACCCAGCACCTGCTTGTACAGACACTGTGGAAAGATACAGAGTCCTGGCCCCACCAAGAGAGTCTAACCTGGTATAAAAAAAGAGACTGGTACCAGCAGCTCCATGCTGGAGAAAGATGTGCTGTGTATTTCAGTAATGCTCTAGATCATTCTCATGGCACATCAGTCAATAGGTTAAGGGTTAAAACGTCCCTGTGATAGGGAGGTGACCTCAGTGACTTGTTTCTATAACTCATTAAGTGATCTAAAAGCTTGACTCCCAGTACTCTTTCTTGCTATCCCTTCGCTACTGTCCTTCCACCCCGTCTGTTACTGTAATAAGACATATTGGGAAAATGGTGTGAGAGAATAAAATGGGGACTAAAGGCAAGCTGGGAACAAAAGGGATGGATCATAAACACTTCCTAGAGAAAGTGTCATTCAAACCAGGCCCCCAAACCTGACATCTTTCAATTTTCCTGGGGGGTGGGACAGACATTCCTGGCTCAGGGAACCACATGATCAAGAATGAAGTGGCAAGATAGTGCCTATATAGACAAAAGTTATGGCACATCTTTTTTTTTCAAATTTTTAAAATTACATTTCTGACAATCTTTACATAGTTAATTAGGGTAAGAAGGTTCAAGGGCTACAGGAAAGTGGGTAAGACTATTATTTCCACATTGTTTCCTTCATGTATCTGAGGTAAAGGGGGATATTGAGGAGAAGCCCCACCCAGTCTCCCACCCACCCCAGGTCCCGGATGTGGAGCATGTTCTGAGATTCTTGCTCAAGTGGTTTTGATAGTTCACCAGTTATGAATTGCTGCCAATCTCGCCACTCCAAGCACTATGAGCACATTGAAGAATCCACTGATTGACATAGTCCATCTCCGTTTGCCCAGTATTTCGCTGCCAACATATGGCTTAGGTGGTTGATTGACTTGTTCTGTCTTCTGTCTCTTCATAGTTAGGGTTCTGAGTCCGGCAGTTATATTGGGGAGATCTCCAAAGAAACTTTGTCTGAGGTGTTCCCAGACCAGATTCTTGTATGTGCTAGCAAGTACAGGGCCTGGCACAGTCCATCGCCCTGATCAGCTGGTGGTTACAATTACTGGGTTGGTTCTGATTTCAGTCCTGACTTCCACTGGAACCAATGGGTGTTGCAGTCCAGCCTGGTTCTGCCCAGCGCATACTTGGCCCTCACATAAACCTGTGGGAGCTGCAGCCTAGTCGGAACAACCCACAATAACCCCCACCAGGCCCGCCCTCTACCCTGGTTTGCCAGTATGTGCAGCAGACTAGACCAGTTTGTCCCACATCCCATTTGGCTCTCGTACATGTCAATGGGCATTAAAGTTTAGTTCCATCTAACCAACTCAACCATCCAGCCCTCACAGATGTTGTTGGGTGCATTTCTGTCTAGTTACCCCAGCCTCTGTCCTAGTTTTTGATGGCACACCTTTTTTTAAAAAAGGTTTATTTTACTTTTATTAGAAAGTCAGATATATAGAGAGGAGGGGAGACAGAAAGGATGATTCACTCCCCAAGTGGCCAAAATGGCCAGAGCTGCCCTGATCCAAAGCCAGGAGCCAGGAACTTCCTCCATGTCTCCCACGCAGATGCAGGGTCCCAAAGCTTTGGGCAGTCCTCCACTGCTTTTCCTAGGCCACAAGCAGGGTGCTGGATGAGAAGTGGGGCTAGCAGGATTAGAACTGGCACCCATATGGGATCCTGGCGCATGCAAGGCCCTTGAGACTTTAGCTGCTAGGCTACCGTGCCAGGCCCAAGTTATGGCACATCTTTACCAAAGATCTCCCATACAGGCACAGGGTCCCAAGGCTTTGGGCCATCCTCCACTGTTTTCCTGGGCCATACTCAGGAAGCTGAATGGAAAGTGGAGCAGCCAGGACACAAACTGGCACCTATAGGGATCCTGGTGCTTAAAGGGGGATGATTAGCCAGTCAAGCCACCATATCAGGTCCAGAGTTATTTATTTTTATTTGAAAGGCAGATTTACAGAGGAGAGAGAGATCTGTCATCCGCTGGTTTACTCCCCAAATGGCCATGACAGCCAGAGCTAAGCCAATCTGAAACCAGGATCTTCTTCTGGTTCTCCCACATGGGTGCAGGATCCCAAGTACTTGAGCCATCTTCCGCTGCTTTCCCAAGTCATAGGCAGGGAGCTGGAGCGGAAGTGGAACAGCCAGAAGTAGAACCAGCACCCATATGGGATGATAGCACTTGCAGGTGCATGATTAGCCTGTTGAGTCACCATGCAGGCTGCAGCCCTAAAGATCTTTAATTTTACTACTGGGTAGATTACAAGGAGGATCAGCGGGAGTAGAACCTAGGAAAGCCATTGGAAAGCTCATCTGGTTGGATCCACATTTGACATACATCACGTTCTCCACTGTCATCCCCAATCGTCAGCTCTCCTAATGGTACAAAGGCCTTGTAATTCATCCTGATCCATTGTTGTCCGCCCTGTAGCACCCACCATGGCAATCCCATTAGGTTCCAGTCTTGTCCCCAAACCTCCTGATTCCCCTTGTGCTGAGCATCACATCAAGAATGTGTGTCCCGGCCAAGTGGCCTCACGCTGTGGGGCCTCCCCACTACCTGCTTCCCCTCACCCCAACCATGCACTGACTCATCTCAACAACCCACCCCACTCACACTGGCCTCCTCGCTCTTCCTGGAGCATATGAGGCCTTCTGCCATCTCATGGCTTTTGTTCTCCACTCCTGAAATTACCAGAAGAGTTCTCCCCACCATGTTTTCCAAATGCCTTGTTCCATCCCTTCATCTTTTTTATGAATCAGAAAATCTATACCAGGTTTTTTTCCTGATTAGTTATGGAACATTCTCCACTCTCACCTTGTTGTAGTGGCTGCAGTGGTTAAGTCATCACTTGGGGCGCCCATCTCCTGTGTCCGAATACCTGGGTTCAAGTGTTCAACCTGAGCCCACCTTCTTGCTAATGCACGTCCCTGGAGGCAATAGGTGATGGGTCAAATATTTGGGTCCCTATCACCCATGTGAAGCCAGGAGTTCTGAGCTCCTGGCTTCAGCCTGATCCAGCCTCGGCTATTGCGAGCATTTGGGGAGCTGGACAGGAGATGGAAGACTTGTCTCTCTCTCTCTCTCTGCCTTAAAAAAAGTATTTTAACAAAATTTTTGTATCAGATGAAGTAACACATGATTTAGTGACAAGGTGTTCTGAGACATGCACCTTAGATGGTTTTACTTTTGTGCAAACTTCCTACAATGACTTACCCAGCTCTCACATTCACTGTTACAGTGGCCTCCACCAGAGCTATGACATCTCTGGGAGATGCGATCCTAGGAGACTCCCACAGCATCCGTGGTCCATTTCCCAAATCATCCTCATGTGGCACATAGTGGTCTTTGCTTATTTCTTGTTCCAACTCTAGGCTGTAAACTTCATACAGGCAAAGATTTTATCCCATTCATGGGCAGTTGTATCACCTGGCCCAGATTCCTGTACATTCTCAAAGCAAAGATGTGTTGAATGAATGAATGAATGGAACAACCGCAGCGGCCCAGACAAATGCAGAGTATAAAGCGGTTGACATGAAGGGCTGGCCGTGCTGGCTGATCTTCCCCGACTGTCGCTTTCCTAGCAGACTAAGCCCGAGGGAGGGAGGTCATAGCTACTGAGAGATATTTTTAAACTCACTCCAGCACCGCGGTCTCCCTTCCTCTGACTCCTCGCGGGTTTCTATGCCTTTTGCATGCCCCTTGGCGCAGTGCCAGCCGCGTGGGCTGATGCCCCTCAGTGTCAGCTCCCATCTGTGCAGTTTGCTGTTAAATGCTCATGAGCATTCGCCGTGTGTCACACATTCTGATAGGTACAGAGGATGGGGTGCAAGGTGTGGAGGTAGGGCATACTCAGCTGAGGAGCTTAAGCCTTAGGCTGGAGAAACAAATTGGGTCATTTTCTTACGGTGTGGGAGTTGCCATACCAAGGGAGGAATCCTCAATCCAGACAGGGAACAGTGGGGGAAATACTCACATTAGAGGTGACATTGGCAGTTTGAGTGGAAATTAGCTGGTGGTGGAAAAGGACGGGCGATAAGCGATGCAAAGGCCAAGAGCCATGCAGGCTGCAGCCTGGGGAGCCACAAGGGCATGCGTGTGAGCTGGAGTCTCTAACAAAGTTCGTTACAGGAGTCACACTGAGGTGACATGGCACTTTCCCTGAAGATACCTGCCTGGCTTACCTTAGCACCCACTCACTTCCGGTTTCCCTAAAACACTCATGTGATTTTACTCATGGTGGGGGCTGCTACTCTGGATACCCTGGTTTGTTGCAGGGAGCAAGGCAGGGTCATCATGGCCTGGGAAGGCTGCTTGGGGGTGGGGGAAAGCCCAGCACTGACTGTCCTCTTCACTGACTCCTCTGCAGCTGCCGCCCAAGGGGAGGCTCCGGAGCCTGTGCAGCCAGCATGTGGAAAAGCTGCAGCTCTTCCAGCACCTCCACCCCATCGTGGTCCAAGCTGCCTTCCCCCCACTCTACAAGGAGCTCTTCAGCACTGAGATGGAACCCCCAGAGGGGCTGTCCAAGTGACCTGCCTGACAGATGGCTCACTGGCTCACCTCCCTAGAACCCCGTCCCATCCTCAGACCCCTTCCCCTGGCCTGTCCCACATCCTCTGGAGGGGTGCCCCATGCCTGTTTGGGAACAAACATGAACACCCAGTTTGGTTTCCTGCCCAGAGACTGGCACCTGACCGCAGAATGCCGACAGAGGGTGCGGATGAAGTGCTGTCTCCAGCCTCAGTGTTGTCCTCTCATAATGGCATACCCTTCACCTCCAGCTTCCAGGAGATGTGGTGTGGTTTGGGATACAGGGACCTCCAAAAGGACCAAGGCACCCTGAATGACCAGAACTGAAGCCTGGGCGTAGAAGCTACCAATAGCTTTTGAAATACCTCATTGTTTCCCATGGGCTGCAGCTGGGGGGAAAGGCTGGCGCTCAGAGACGGACAGCCACGGCCCAGAAGCACCTGTACAGGATCTGAATCTGGATTCTTCAATCACCTGCCTTCCTCTCTCCCAGCTCAGCATCAAAGTGATTGGGCAGCCTGCCCCTTCCCTGGGAGTCTAAGCAAACCAGCAAATATGGAGAGTAAACGACAAGGAGGGTTAGAGGTTGGGGGTAATTGTTTCATGGGACTCAGGTGGATGGAGGAGGGGAGGTCCAATGAAGGCCAAGAGCGTCCCAGACAGATGCAGAATTAGAACTCAGATCTCGTCAGTGCACTTTACAGACATATGTCAGGGTTAGCACAGATCTGATCAGAGACGGACATCCACGTACAGGTGAAACACAGACGGTCTTGTGATCCTTCACAATCTCTTCCCTCCTGGAGGTCTCAGCTCTCAGGCAGCCTGGTGGCCTTGGGGCGGGAGGCAGAGAGAGGAGAAAGTCCCAGTCCACAGCGCCCCCAGAACATTTCCAGCCTACCAGTCTTGAGACTTGATGTGGTCATGCGGCCATCCCTGCTGGGGCATGTCCCGCCGAAAGCAGGGATGGCTGGACTTTCTAGGCCCTGACCTCCAGCCTTGCTTTCATCAGGGAAGCAGAGGCAGTGCCAGCACTCTGGGAGCGGGACCCCCAGACCCTGGTGGCAGTGAGACAGCAGATCCCTGAGCACAGGACTGAGATGGGTTTCTCCAGCTGCCAAATTGCTTCTCTCATCCTTCTCTGAGGGATAAGCTGCAGATGATGGGGGATATGGGGGAGGGGGGGACGGTTTCTCCCCTCGGGGAGGCGGGCTTTAGCTGGGTAAACGTGAACCCCACCTTGTGCCATTCTTTATAAAATGATTCTGAAGGCAAGAGCTCTATGTGTGTGTGTGCGAGAGAGAGAGAGGTGGGGTGGAAGGAACCCTCAATGACATTACCCATCACCCTGTTCTCCTGCCTCCTGCGTGGGGACCCAGGTTTCTGCCTCAGCAATCGTTTGGTGCCCTAAGTGATCGTAGCACCCTAGGAGGCCTAGCCCTCTCCCCAGTGTCTGTCCAGACAGAGCAGCCTCCCCAGTGGCTGGTGGATCTTCAGGAACCCCCTTCCCCCTCTCAACCCCCCACACTCACCCCTCAGAAGGAACAGCGAATAAAGCTCCGCAGGGGGAGGTCCTGACCCAGAACTTGCCCGTGAATGACACCCACAACGCACTCACAAGATTTAGAGATGGCACAGAAGCACCCTGCTGCCAGCACACCTAAAGACGGTGCTCTGGAAAAAAGTGATTTGCCCTTGCGTTTCCAGGGAGTGGGGGTGGGGGGATGACTGAGGAGGTGAGCCCCCGTGGAGTCTCCCGGCTGCCATCCACTGCAGACCCTTCCCAGCACCACAGCCTCCCCACCCTCCCATCCCTTCTTCCCCCTCCCTCGCCAACCTGAGTGGCGCTTGCTGCAGCCCTCCCTGGCTGCTTTATTTATTTATTTTGCACCAACAGGGTTGCTGCAGACTCATTCTCGCCTGGTTTAAAGAGAGAGAGGGAGAAGAGAGAACCGCTTTCTGGCTCTTTTCTCTAACTCGGTCTTGGCAGCAGCGGTGGCAGTGAGTGGCAGTCGTGGCAGTCGCAGCAGCGGCCGGCAGGCAGGCAGGCAGGCAGGCACGCAGGGAGCTGGGAACTGGGAAGGTGCAGGGGCCTGAGGTGCAGCTCGAATGGGCCAGCGGCCCCAGCCCTGGACAGATGCGGTGCCCAACTTGATGCCACCCTCCGGCTTCTCAGGTAAGTGCCCCTACTCTCTGTCCTGCCACCACAGCTGCTCTTTCCGATAACGGAGATCTGTATGCCTGCCAAGGCAAGAGGCTTTGCACTCCTGCCCCCACCCCACTCTGGCCAACCATTCCTCCTGATTCCACAGGATTTCCATGGGTAAAGACAATGTCCCAGGTTCCCCTGGGGAGAGCATGTTCCAAGAGACCTCCTTCTTATCCTTCCCTCCAAAGTTCCCTCATCCCCAGGAAGGATATTTCCCCAACAGTCAGGACCCCCACATCCCCATAATACAGGTCCCTGTACCTCTGTCCACTGCACTGTAAAGAGAAGGTCCTTGTTCACTGGGGTCTCTGCACTACCACATAGAGCAACACAAATGCTCCTCATCTTAGCGGGCGCAAGGGGATGATGCCCCAGACCCCACCCCACTGACAGAAAGAAACAAAACGTTCCCACACCTGTGTCTTCTTGCAAAGTGGCCGGAAGCCAGTCCTATAGCCATGGGATGGAGGACAAGCGGGAGGAGGGTTGCTTGGCGAGAGAAGTTTGTGATGACAAAATGAGCTACCTTGTCAATAAGAGCAGTCGGTCCCCAGCCCCTGGCCCAACCGGCTTGGGGATCACAAGAGCAGGGAGGAAGTGGGGGCTGAGTTCATGCCTCACTGCTCTTTTTGCTGAATGCAGAGCGGCAAGTAGGAGCAAGGACCGCAGCAGCAGTGATGGAGAGCTGGATGTCAGGTGGACTTCCCAGAAGAGAGGCACAGGGAGGGGGAGGGAAGTTGGGACAGTGCTGTCCCTAAAGAGCTCCCGGCAGGCTGGTCAGTGCATGGCAGGGGAGTACCTGTTAGGTCTGTGCAGCAGCCCTAGCTATTCCTTCTCAGCCTTGAGCCCCAGCAGGTTGCCCCGCATATCTCTGCACTGCTGGCCTTTAGTTTGCCAGCAGCCACAGTCCTCTGAGGTGCCTACAGGGCATCCAGCAGGAGGCAGCCCTTCTAGAGGAATGGGTAGAGAGTGAGAGACGATCTTAAACTGCCTCACCTTATTTCTACCAGGGGTGTAGCCTTAGGGCCTAGAGAGTCTGAAGCCCCAAGGACGAGCAGGGCCAGCAGCCAGTGAGAAGCCCAGATGTGCAACCCCATTGCCAGGGTGCAGGAAGAGGGGTGTCCCTGTTGGTGATGAACAGGGTGAGTCAAGGACTTCTTACCACCTCCATCCCTTCTCCAGCCCACCTGCCAGGTCATGCCTGGGTGCACAGTTTCCAGGACCCCCTGTAACCGGGCAGTTTCTGCCCAGTGTCTGCGTCCAGATACCCACCGTGCCAGCCCAGGCCCCTTTCCCCACTACGCCACCACATCAGAGCCAATGCTGTTCCACCTCACTCAGCCATGCCTCCCTGGCTCACACTCTGTCTGCTATATCATGGAGGAAGCTCAGACCAAGGGGACGAGGAGTCTGCTATCCAACTCACACACTGAGCCACAGTCAGAGAGGCTAGGGACTCAGAACTCAAAGCATATGCATCCTTTGGGACCCTCACACATCCCAATTTGGGCTCACCTCTGGGGGTTCCTGTGAAGAATCCCCAGCTTTCACATCCAAAGATCCCTGAATCCCGGGCCATGGGCTAATATGCAGTTTGGTTGCCCGCCATGTGGGCATTCTGGGGGAGACTGGCTCTGCCAGTCCAGGGTTCAGGCTCAAACAGGGCCTGGGGGTGGGAATACAGCAGACACCTGCATGGTTCCCAGCCTGGGGTGACTTAGTCAAGGTGAGAACCTCTGTCCTCATCAGGACATAAGGACTCTGGGCCAGATATTCGACCTCCCAGAGCCTTAACCAAAGCCATGGGCACACAATATGGTGGGTGGAGCCACAGTAGGGCCCAGGGCTGGGGAGGATGATACAGCAGGGAGCAGATAACAGAGTCTGGACCCATGGGCACACCTGGATCTCTCAGGCTTAGGAGAAAATCCATTCCTAGGAGACACAGCTACCCACCCTGCTGCTCCCAGTCTCCCATTCCACACAACTTTGCACACCCGAGGCAAGCTCCCGTAGGGTTCCACAAGCTGGTGAGCTAGCCACCACTTTGCCAGGGATCCAGGGCTGAGTGGGGGAGGAAAAGAGATTCCTCAAAGAGGAGCCCTAGAAAGCCCCAGGGATGCAGCGCCCCAGAATTCTTCCTGGTTCTGTGTCCTATTTGCCATTGCTGTCGGCAGTGTTGAGCTGGATAGACGGCCTTCTGCCCCGCCTCAAAGGAGGAGGGGAGTCAGCGAAGTTCAGGGGGCGTCTCAGGTCCTGTTCCAGTAAGGCCCGTGTCCTCCTGTGTTCCAGGACTGAAGAGGGCATGGATGCAGCCACGGAGACACCAAAACCAGCCTTGTCCCTCTGGCCCCGCCTCCTACTCCTGCTCCTGCTGCCTGGGGGAAGCAGTGGCAGCTGCCCTGCCCCATGTGACTGCACCTCCCAGCCCCGGGCCGTGCTCTGCGGCCACAGGCGCCTGGAGGCTGTGCCTGGTGGCCTCCCACTGGACACTGAGCTCCTAGACCTGAGTGGGAACCGCCTGTGGGGGCTACAGCGGGGCATGCTCTCCCGCCTGGGCCTGCTCAGGGAACTAGACCTCAGCCACAACCAGCTATCCACCTTGGAGCCTGGGGCATTCCAGGGCCTGCAGCACCTGCTCACCCTGAGGCTGCAGGGCAATCGTCTACGTATCGTGGGGCCAGGGGTCTTCTCAGGCCTGTTTGCACTCACGCTGCTGGACCTGCGCCTCAACCAGATTGTTCTCTTCCTTGATGGGACGTTTGCAGAGCTGGGCAGCCTTCAGCAGCTGGAGGTTGGGGACAACCACTTGGTGTTTGTGGCACCTGGGGCCTTCACGGGGCTGACCAAGCTGAGCACCCTCACCCTGGAGCGCTGCAACCTGAGCACGGTGCCCGGCCTCGCACTGGCCCGCCTCCCCACCCTGTTAGTCTTGAGGCTCCGGGAACTGGATATTGAGAGGTTGCCGGCGGGGGCCCTCCAAGGGCTGGGGCAGCTTAAAGAGTTGGAGATCCACCACTGGCCATCCTTGGAAGCCCTGGACCCTGGCAGTCTGGCCGGGCTCAACCTTAGCAGCCTGGCCATTACCCGCTGCAATCTGAGCTCAGTGCCTTTCCAGGCGCTGTACCACCTGAGCTTCCTCAGGGTCCTGGACCTGTCTCAGAACCCCATCTCGGCCATCCCAGCCCGACGCCTCAGCCCCTTGGCACGGTTGCAGGAGCTCCGGCTGTCAGGTGCATGCCTCACCTCCATTGCCGCCCATGCCTTCCACGGCCTGACTGCCTTTCACCTGCTGGATGTGGCCAACAATGCCCTTCAGACGTTAGAGGAGACAGCCTTCCCTTCTCCGAACAAGCTGGTCACCCTGAGGCTGTCCGGCAACCCCCTGACCTGCGACTGTCGCCTGCTGTGGCTGCTGCGGCTGCGTCGCCACCTGGACTTTGGCACCTCCCCACCTGCCTGTGCCGGCCCCCAGCACGTCCAGGGCAAGAGCCTGAGGGACTTCTCGGACATCCTGCCCCCAGGGCACTTCACCTGCCAGCCAGCCTTGATCCGGAAATCAGGGCCTCGGTGGGTCATCGCTGAGGAGGGGGGACATGCCACATTCTCCTGCTCCGGAGATGGTGACCCCACCCCCACAGTCTCCTGGAGGAGGCCCCAAGGGGCATGGCTGGGAAGGGCTGGGAGAATCAGGGTCCTGGCCGATGGGACACTAGAGATCCGCTCGGTGCAGCTACGGGACAGAGGGGCCTATATCTGTGTGGTCAGCAACGTAGCTGGGAATGACTCCCTGAGGACCTGGCTGGAGGTGATCCACGTGGAAACGCCCAATGGCACTCTCTCAGACCCCAACATCACCATGCCAGGGATCCCCCGGCCTTTCTTCCTGGATGGCAGAGGCGTGGCCATGGTGCTGGCCGTCGGCTTCCTCCCCTTCCTCACCTCAGTGACTCTTTGCTTTGGCCTGATTGCCCTCTGGAGCAAGGGCAAGGGCCGGGTCAAGCACCAC